CCCCCCCCCCCCACCCATCGTAACTGAGAGTGGCCATCAAAATCACCTAATGTAAAACAGAGGAAAAGTATAGAAAGTTTAATGAAGCTTTTTGACAAATTTGAAATGCACACTAGCTTTTTCACTTACCACAATAATTTTCTTGGGGTTATAAGCTCAAGCGTGAGTAAAACTTAAGCGTAGACTCAAACCTTTGGTAGACTAGCCAAATACAAGAATGGCTGTATTTGTATAGGTAATCATATGGTTTCGAGTTCAATTTGGAATTAATTTACATGAGTGAGTTTTTCAAAAAGCTGAAATTGTGTGCATGAGCTGCTTTGTGCAGTAAGTGCAATTTCAGCTTTGTAAAAAACTCACAAGTGTAAATTAATTCCAAATTGAACTTATTACGGTAATAATATAAACAGGAAAAAATTTGTGTGTAGAAAGTGCTGGAAGATCTTTTTTCTCATCGGAGAAAACTTTTTTCAAAGTTTCCGCACAAAATTTTTGTCATCATTTTACGTGACATCATTGGCTTAGAAAATTTGCTATTTCCTTTCAGCCAGTCATAATCCAGAATTACAATGTGTAATTTGCACTGATGTTACACTTTTTGCACTGGTGTTATACTTGAACAGCACTGCTCTCAGCCAATCAGAATCGAGAAATTTTTTCATGTATATTATTATGGTTGTAAGCTATTAATTTAAAAATTGAAGCTTATGCCACTTTATGCGGCGAAATTAAAGGATGACAGAGAATGTGAATAGAAGTAGACGTTACTGATTCAGACTACAACCCCCAAGCACAATTGCAAATAAAGATTATTCTTACTTCCTTGCTGTGCTCAAGCTCTAAGTGACCTCAAAGAGAATATTTTCCCACGCTGTTCTGGAGCTGGTGCTATCATTAGAGAACAACCCAAAGTGAAGCCTTCCTCTCGAGTGGATAGCCACAATTCGGAGACTAATACTATGTCTTAAAAAGGAAGAACACTATGCAGTTCTTTTCAGAGGTAGAAATTACTTCAAGTTAAGTGAAGTTACCACAGAAGTAAAACCGTACTTTGCACGGAGCTCAATTTTTGGCACAAACAATATTTTCCTTATTTGGTGCGAGTATCGTGCGCGCGCATAAACGGAAGTTATCCTACCTTGGCGTGATTGATACAACCTTTTCGTGACCTGTGTTCATTTGTCATGTGATCGTGC